GCTCGTCCGAACCCGGTGCGATGGCAAGTGGCAGCTAGGTCGACGGCGCAACGGCGACGGTCACTCCCTCGGGTCCCTCATCCAGGTCGGGGACGTGAACGCTTAGCAAATTGGGTGAAACAACTCCCGAGGAGGCCACCAACTCCACAGGCTCGTCGGCGCGATCAAGGGGTGATAGTGAGAAGCCCGCGCAGGGGTTACTGGCTCGGGGTTCTCCATCTCGGCCGGCAGCTTGAGGGTGACCGAGTCGAAGGCATTTCCTTTCTGACGAAGGGCGGTGTAGATCTCCTGCTGCATAGCATACCGGCCCACCTGGAAGGCCATAGCACTCTCCTCCGCAATCGTCTCCTTCCCAGCGTCGCTAGCTAGCCACGAGGTGACTATGTCGCCGCTGCGCCCACGGACATACTCCTCGGTATCTCGCTCGAACTCATCAGACTTCTTGTAGGCGGGGATGACCTGTCCAAGCTCCTCCGCATGCCTCTTCCGCTCCACCTCCAAGGCCTTCCGGGACTCGGCGTCACGCCTGACCGCCTCATCGGCCCGCCTGGTCTCGGCTTCCAAAGTCGCACCAGCTCGCGAGCGCGACCCTGCTCATCCTCGACAAGGGCCACGGCCCAACCCTGAGAAGAGACACAATCATAACAAAGCAACATCGAGGACTAAGTGCAATAAAGGAAATCACAAGCAAGAATACATACCTCGATGGTACGGAGGGCCTCTCGAACGATAGCGGGCAAGCTCCGCGTCGTGTGATCGGCAGGCGGCGGCGGGGGCGGTACAGCCGGCGGTACAGGGGGGCGACTCGCCTGCGGCCGCGTCCCTCCCGGTGGGGGCGCACCAGGCTCAGAAGGGGGGGCGCCAGACTGCGCGGTAACCTTCTGTCTCTTCGCAATAGGGCCACGCGCCACGACGCGCTCAAGGCGCTCACGGAACGAAGACATGATGGGAGATCTCGCTGCAAAAGGAGACAAGCAAGGGTTAATCCATAAGCCATATGTACAAACGACGGGCCAGTGAAGGAAAGGGGAACAAACCACGAGTAGAGGCACGCGAAGGGCCGACAGCGGACCCGGAGGACCTGGGCTCGGCAAAAACCTCGCCCGAAGAACCCGAGGATCCCGGGGACTGCTCTGGGGGCTCATCGTCCGACAACTCGATCAAGGGACGTGCATCCGACTGGGGCGTACACAGAAGGCGCAGGCGAATACGAGGCGGTAGCGGCCCATCCGACACAAAGCCCAGACTACGCATGTTCTCCGGCGTAATCATCTCGCCAATGATAATCTCTCCCCGATCGCCCCGGAAGGCATGGACGTCCCGGGCTAGAGCGGCCGTCTGGAGCGGGGCCCTGTGGCGCACAAACCTGTTGTTCCAAGATAGGAACGGGCGACGATCGCCGACCGAGACGAAGACGAAGTGCAGTTTCCAATCTCTGTTGGTCTGATTGAAGTCATGGAACGTCTTCATACGCGCCCGGGCCGCTATGCCCACGAACCCCTTACTGGCCTGGCCGGAGGACGAGGTGACTTGAAACAAACTCTGGAAGAGATCCATGTAGGGCTCGACACGAATGGTGTGGCAGCGAAGCAGGAAGGCAAGAAGTAAGTAATGGGCATTCGGTACCAACTGCCCGGGTGCGATGCCGTAGTGGTTGAGAAAGGATTCGACGAAGGGATGGATAGGGAAGCGAAAACCGAGGTACAGGGACTACATGTGAATCCCGAAGAAGAGGGGTGTCGGAGGCTCGGTGACATTCCCCGACAGGGAAGGCAGGCGTACCTCGCCCGCAGACCCAACATAGCGTTCGGCCTCCTCAAACTCCTGCACGGAGGTCCGAGCCAAAGTCGAGGCCGCGACGAGTGTCTCTAGAGGGGTGTACTGGACAGGATCCTCGTACGGGACCGCAAAGGGGTCCTCCATGACGGGAGGATGGGCGTCCAACAGACCCTCGTATGGCATGGTGACCTCCCCAGAGGGGGAATGGGCGGGAAAAAGAGTGGGGGGGTCGCTGGTTTCGTCCATGGGAAGGATGTGAGTGTCTACGGAGTCCAAAAAATCGTCTAAGGAACGAGAAGAAGTGTACATGCACCGACTAAACCTACGAGATAAAAGAGAAGGGGTATAAGAACGGGGCATGCTTGAGCCATAAAAGAAAAAAAAAAAAAAAAAAAAAGAGGGTGGTCTTTAAAGACCCCGGCCCAGGCCCGCGGTCGGGCCGGCACGGCCTCGGCGGGCAAGGTCGGCGGAGCCCGGCCCGGCGCCGGCGTGCCCACGCTGTGGCCGGAGCTGCTCAAAAAAAAAAAAAAAAAAAAAAAAAAAAAAAAAAAAGAGGAGGCAGTTTGGAGGACCTCGACCCTAGGCCGAGGTCAAGGTCGGCAGGACAGGCCGGCCGGCACGGCCTCGGCGACCGAGGTCGGCGTGACCCGTCGCCGAGGGGAGGCGCGTCCCCGGCAATGGGGGACGGCCGTTACCGCCCTCGCCGTGGCCCGAGCCCGGGGGGTCGGCCGGGGACCACGGGAGCAAGGCCGGCGAGCCGCCCCCGTGGCAGTGGCGCGACAGCGCCGCCGCGACAGAGCAGCGGCATCATGGCGAAGCAGCGGCGTCGCGGCGGCGGCAGGGTGGTGCGAAGCAAAAAAAAAAAAAAAAAAAAAAAAAAAAAAAAAAAAAAAAAGGGAAAGAGAGAGGAGAGAGGGGCGTACCAAGCTCGGGCCTAAGGCTCGGCGACGGGGTAGTTGGAGGACGGTGTTTCCGCGGGCTCGCCGGAATCCGGTGATGGCTCGCCGGAAGTCGCCGCCGTGGGGTCGCCGGAATCCGGTGGAGGGGGGGAGGGGGGGGAGGAGTGTGAGGTTGATGGTGAAAGTGTAGAATAAGAGGGGAGAAGGGGTTTATATAGGAGAGAGGGAGATGAAGAGGGGGAAGTTTTGAAATTCAAAATTCAAAAAAAGGGGGGGGGGGGGGGGGTGAAGGTGAAGAGATAGATGTGATTGGTTGACTTGAAGGAGATGATCAAAACCTAAGAGGACTCTACTGTGTATGTGTCCTAACAGATGGATTCGTATTCCGGATGGAGTTTTTCATCATTATCGCGAGAAGTACACCTGGACGGCACCTATAACGCAGGGACGCAGGCGTCTCGGGGTCGGCATTTTGTTAGGTCGGCCAGAGCATCTACTCTCCTTCACTGACGATTACTTGCAGCTCGGAGAGTGGGGGACTGATGACGGATATATCAGGAACCGACCCGCACCGACCCGAGGGCGCGGACAAGAACGGGTCCCGGGGCGGCGCCACGTACCCGTCCCGGACGGGGCCTCGCCACGTGGCCCCCGCACGGGCCACGTCGGAGGCCGGGCCGACCTCCAAATGGGTTCAGCCCGAGCCCATGACGGGCTCGGCCTGGCCCCACGGCACGGCCCGGTCGCGAGACCGGGCGCGGTCAACTCGGATCTAACCACCCCCCGCTTTGGGGGGTGGCGGTTAGGGGCGGGGGTTGTATAAAAACCCCCCACCCTGTCTAGTTAGGACACGATCTAAATTTCCTACATACTTTGCCCTAAAATACTACTGTAGTAGCCAATTCTACGGCATTTAATACAATCTACGGTCTCACGGCCTTGGCTATATCATTCGTACCATTTATTTATTATTCGTACTCTTATTCGGGTTAGTTAAGTCGGACCCCCGGTTTAATTAATTCCATCAATAATAAATAATAATAATAATAATAATAATAATTAATAATAACACGGAGTAATGTTTTAGTGTTTGGACTATGACCTTTGAAACCTTCAATGACAAACTAACAAACAAAGAAAAAAAAGTAACAAACAAAACAAAATACCCAGCCATCCCGTGGCGTGACCTCCCTCTATAAATACTTGTCTTGTAACACATTTTGCCAGAAGAAAACAGCTACAGCAAAAATGAGGAACTGATCGTTATCAGGGACGAAGTTAGAAATTCGATGGAGGGGGGCGAAGAAATAGAGACGGATTCAGAAAATTTTTTCAATAAAGGCGAAACATTAAAACAAAAGATATAATTTAAAAAATAAATAAATAAATTATCTAAGAAATATAGTTATAAATATTATTGGATATAGACGAAAAATAAAACACATCGAAACTTTATAAAAATATTCATAACAAAATATGAAACATAATTAATTTGATAAAATAATTTGAATAGAAAACACATTATTAGTTACACATCTCATTATTAATATAAAAGAATGTTATATATATATATATATATATATATATATATATATATATATATGCTGCTGGAAATCAGCAGATTTCCGACCACCTAAAAGTTGTCGGAAATAGCCTTAATTCGGTCGGAAATGTCTGTTCCGACCACTTTTCCGACCAATTTGGGTATCCGGAAAAATCCCCTTCGCTATTTCCGACCACTAAAGAAGTGGTGTAAAATAGCGACCACTTTTCTAAGGCCGTCGGAAAAAATGGCCAGTATAATAGTCGGGCAGGTCCGGATTTTCCAACCACTTTGGTGGTCGGAAAATTTGACGTAGTCAATAAAAAAAAATCATTTCACCACAGAGAGGAACCCCTCTATAGTGATATATATATATATATATATATATATATATATATATATATATATATATATATATATATATATATATATATATATATGTATATATTCCTTTTTGCAAGTTGGTAATATATTTAATGAAAAGCATATACACATTTCATGTGTTCTTGCCGGTAAATAATCCAAATTGAACTCTGTTCACAAAGCATATGATCTCTTAGAGAAAAATAAAGTATGACAATCAAGAGTAGCAAAAAATTTTAATACAAAGTATCACAATCCAAATATTGTACTCATAAATCAATCCATGAACTACATCCTTCACTTAACTTAAAAATGGTGCAATCAGTTAAAATTTTAGTATAAAAAAGTATCATACTATGGGGAAATGATTTTTATAAGAGTTATGTAAGAACAATTTGATTACTAAAACATACTACCTTGCCAAATGTGCTGAAATGCCCGAGCAAACGCATCACCCCTTCTTTTTGCATCTTCAGTGCCACCCTCACTAGCCACTGCCTGAATATTTAACATTAAGCTGATTTAAAATCATTACCAAACATATACCATGTCACAGATAAGTAATAAAGCCCATAAAAACATAAAAAGTAAGATAGAAGTTCACCCCAATAATTATATTCCTGAACCAAACAAATTCATCTTTTACCTTATCAACAGGGTCTGGCAGATGTTCAGATAATACAGTCAACCAGTTACCTGCAACAAATGAGTATTCAACATAAGAGAAGAATTGAGGAAACAATTCTTTGTTAAGACTTAAGAAAACTTGATATGTCTCTTTAATCTTCATAATCATAATTGGCAAACATAACCATAAGCTTTGACAAACACAATCAGTATCATTATCAAGTTTCAGTAAACAGAACTTACCCTAGCTCACTAAGATCGGACAGGTCTACAGTGTTAGGTTCATATCTGTAAATAATTTTTAAAGAGTCAAATTTAGTTAAAGAAATATCTGTACAATTGCTAATTCTTGAAAATAACAGAAACAGAATGATTGCTACCTTAAGAAAATCTTAGTTCATAGTAAGCAAGATAGAAAAAGAAATCATATAATAAGAGCACCTTGGATACAGTAAGAAGTCGACAAGTGTTTGTTCAACCAGAACTAGATACAGAGTGCCAGATAGCATTCTTCTTCCACTCACTGTAAAAATCATGTAACCAAGAATCAGGTAATCTTGTCAGTAATGGGTAGAAGTACATATCCAGCATCAGTACACTCAAATATTTTGTAAGACCTTGAAGAATTCTAGAGAATTAGTGTGAAGAAACACATCCTATATTTGTATGTCAGTAATAACCAAGAGGAAACAGATAATAAAGAGGGATAAAAAAAGTAATGAGATCACTTCAAATTCAACAAACACAAAGTACACTCAAAGGAAAAGGCACGAGATACAAAATGTAAAAGAAATAATGCATGCACAATTTAATAATGTGCAAGAAGCATGTGATCAACAAAACATGAGAAAGTAAATAGAAATTGAAGGCACAAATTAATCAGGATGCGTTGGATGTGCACATATTCTGTATATGTATGACGAGAAGAATCTTAAAGGAAATTTGAGATGACGGAATCAACTTGGCATACATTTTGGGGTTTGCCAAGATTGGAAAAACCCCCAAGCTTGGGACAAGATGAAAGACACCAACATTTAATTTGCTTGCATCAGACCGAAGAACTCCTTTAGATGATGGAACTTCAAAGCCTCCCAGCCCTGTAGTTCCCGGTGGAGCCATTGGAACAGGAGCAATAATTTCAGTTCCCTTCTGGACAAACTTTTCCATCCACGAGATCTGCAATTAAACCAACCAGTTTCCCAAATTATTCCATCTCTTATGATTAGTTCAACTATTGGTCCTCTTGGAGCTCTTGGTTGTGTGTATGCATAAGCTTGTGGCACAAAATGACGTGACAATCCTTCCCCCTTTTCGGCAGCATCTATGAATTGTTGAAAGCTCTTGGTGGAAGAATCTTGCTTGTCACGCACTCCCTCTAGAAGATCCATGTGAATACGCGATTGAGTTAGTAAACCTTGCACTTGTTGTTCCAAAAGTTTGAGCCTCGACGTAGTATCGGACCCATGCTTTCCCATTTCATTGAACAACTTCATCACATCTTTCTTCAATTCATCTTTGGCCGTGTCAATTTTGGTTTTTAATAGGCCTTGCCTATTAAACAATTGTTGAGTACGATCCACCATCTCCTTGTGATAATCATCAAGTTTTGTGTCCATTGCCTCCACCTTTGTTCTCAATCCACCCGTAGATTCTTGTACAATGGCTTTAACATCTCCAACAATCTCTTCTCTTAAGGCTTGAGTATCGATCAAGGGTTCATGTTGCACGGGTGGGGTTGGAATTGGCAAAGGGTGTGCAAAATCATCTCTTGGTGTGGTAATCATTGTATCAACAAGGTTGGGTTCGGCTTCCTCGGTGTTGTAGCAAAGAAGCAATGTTGATCTATTTCTTGGAAGTTCTTGGTCATAAAACTCATAGGAAGATGGCAAATTCCTTGTTTCATCCAAGTTCAAAGAAACCCCTTGACTTGGTGCATTTCCTTCTTCCCGAATAGACTCTGTAACCTCCGTTACGGGATGTGGAAACTGGAAAGTAAGATTCAAAGCTCAAATTTTCATTCAAATTTTCATCTCCAAAATTCGCAGGATATGGATCAAATGCCACGATCTCTACACCATCATTTCTCGCCAAAGATCCCTCTCCGGGTCCTCTTCGGGTATCCTCTAAAGACATAGTGGTGACACGGCGAATATCATTCGGATCAAATTCACCTATAGGCACTTCGGTTGTGGCTTCAACCATCACTCCCTTTTCGGTTCTCTTCTTCTTAGCGAGCATGGTCAAGAAGCAAGAATTAATCACCGAAAGCCGGGTAGCTCTAGCAAGATCACGTGTGCCCAACCAATTCAACACCATTTCTTCCCTTTCCAAGGTATTCGGCCCTATTGATTCGGCTAGCAAGTTGTGATCCCTTAATCTCCATGCTCTCCATTCTAGTGCTCTTTTATACTCCTCCAAAAGTGCACTATCCGCCCCAATTGTTGATATTTCATCATCACTTCCAACTTCAACTTGATCATTCACAACAACATCGACTTTAACTCTATTTTCCTCAACAAAGCCGTGGCTCTCAAAGATAATTGGGTTCGTGTTTTGAGTGGTTAAGGGTCTTGAGATTGGGTGGCTTGATTGTTCTTCGTTGGATCGGACGGCATGGGTGTTTGAACCTTCCTGGCTTGGTTCTCGGATATATTGTTTAAGGTTTTGGAAGGGGTTGGGCAATTTTCTTTTTTCGGGTGGATTTTGGTAGGCTTGAGGGTAAGGAGGGATTTTTAGGTTCATTGGAGTTGGGTGGCCGAAAGAGGTAGCTATGGTTTGTAATATGCTTGGCTTTGGTAAGGGTGACATTTTTGGTTCTCAAAATCTCACCAACGGCAAACCCGTAACCGATCTCCTGTTGAAACCATCCATCCACCAAAGGCTTGGTCTTCCTTAAAGACTCACACAACCTTCCAAACATAAAGGCACCCCAATACACACAAACATTGTTCAAAATAATGTCCATAATCAACAATTTTTCTTTTGACAACTTGTCACGGCAATGATACCGGGATTCTACACATTTATGAACAATATCCAACAACAATCCATAATCCTTCTTCAAATCTCTTTTGTTACCATTAACCTTCGGAGATAGCGGTGCGTTTGCATTGCGTACCTCGGCCCAAATGGCATTGACATCATGCACATGATTTTCTACCCTCAAATTCGATTCAACAAGATTAAACATCCTCCGAAAATCATCGAGATTAATTTCTACATCAACACCTTTGATCATAGAAATAATTGAGCCATTTTCTATTCTAGCATTCATGTATAATTCGGTCACCTCATCTTTATAGAAACCAACATATCTAAAAGTGCAAAAATTTAACAACCCACTAGATTCGAGAGAGTTGATAATTTTTACCCCAATAGATTTGTCCTCCACTTGCTTATTGAAGTCGGTGACATCAAGAATCATCCCGCTAAGTACACGGCTCGACCTTCTTGATCCTCCAGTTGTGAATGACTCCATCTCCACTTGATTAGCCTCCATTTGAGTAGAAATAGAATTTAGGAATCTTTTGGTGCAAGATTGAGTGATTCGGCAGTGAGGTTCGAAATAGGATAGAAGGGATGGGTTTTTGGATTGTGAGGTTATTTGGGTAGGATTTTGGGTTTGGGTTTTTGTGTGTAGAAGGTTTTTGTGTAGAGAAATTAGAATGGGTGTTAGAACATTGAGAGATTTTTGGATTCTTCTTGTGCTATGTTTCCGGCCGGCGAGAGAGAGAGAAGAAGAAGATTTTGTGTTCTTCTTTAATTCCACTTTCTACTCGTTAGAATTGAGTGAGAAGGGATGCGAAATTACTCCTTTGCCCTCTAGTGGGTAGAGAGAGAGTATTGATCTCCTTGAGGATAAATTCGACCTTTCACATGATTTTAATTTGCCAGCTCAGATTTTTATACTCCATTTGTGAGTACATGGCGCCAAAAATTGTGCTTCAAATAACCGCCAACCTGGAGCAAATCAGAAAAAAAAAAAAAAAAAAAACTCGAAAATAATCTGTTAGACCAATAAATATACTCCAGATAAATATTATTATTTCAATTTCATATTTCAATAAAGCTGATTTTCTGAAAAGAAACCTGAAAAAAAAAAATTGATCAGACTGATACCTAATATCTGAAAAGAAATTTCAAGTTCCCAAAACAATTAAATCTTTTGACTTTCTAAAATTGGGCCTAACTTGTTTGACTTTTGAATCTCCAAAATGGGCAAGCATTCATCAGAAAAACATTTTTCTCAACATGCAAACTCAAATAAACCCAATAGGCATGCAAATATCTAAATTTCCCTTAAATATATTCATTTTCATCAAAATTAACCCAATTGAAAAAAAATTGTTCCCCCTAAATTGCATACTAATCTCAAATTAATCTAATTAAACACATTTAGCAAACAAATTACACAAATCAATTATGCTAAAACGTGATAATTTAAATAGACATACGTATCACATAAATAAATCACAAATTTAGGTACGCAGATTTCGTAAGACAAAATTATAACACATAAATTTTACGAAAACATGTACACAAATAAACATATATTATACGTACATACACAAATAAATTAAGCACATAGATCACATAAATTACATGCAATACACAGTACGTATCAAAAATTAACAAGAATTAAGAGTTAAGGAATTGCTTAGCTCATTTCGATCATTCCCATTTCATGCCTTAGAGTTGCAAAACGAGATTCACACAACGGCTTTGTGAGAATGTCGGCAATTTGATTCTCCGTGGGAACATGATCGATTTTCAAATCTTTCTTTTCGACGTGGTCTCGGATAAAATGGTGTCGAACGTCGATATGCTTGGTTCGCGAATGAAGCACCGGATTTTGGGTTATGGCGATTGCACTTGTATTATCGCATAAAATTCTAACATTTTCGCACTTAATCCCATAGTCCAACAATTGTTGCTTCATCCATAAGATTTGTGCACAACAACTCCCAGCTGCAATATATTCGGCTTCGGCAGTGCTCGTAGCTATGGAGTTTTGCTTTTTGCTGAACCAAGAGACCTGTCTTCCCCCTAAGAACTGGCATGTCCCTGAGGTACTTTTTCGGTCTATTTTACAACCTGCAAAATCTGCATCTGAATAACCAGTTAGTGTAAAATCTCCTTCTTTGGGATACCATAATCCCACATTGATTGTTCCTTTAAGATATCGAATTATCTTCTTAGTTGCAATCAGATGACTTTCTTTGGGCTTTGATTGGAATCTTGCACATACGCCAACCGAGTAGGATATGTCCGGTCTGCTTGCGGTTAAGTATAGTAACGATCCAATCATCCCTCGATACATGTTTGATCGACGTCTTTTCCTTCATCATCTTTATCCAATTTTTGAGATGTACTCATGGGAATTTTGACTGAGGATTTTCCATCTATGCCAAATTTATTGATAAGATCTCTTGTGTACTTGGCTTGATTTATGAAAATTCCTTCTTCAAGTTGCTTGACTTGCAGTCCCAAAACGTAATTTAATTCTCCCATCATACTCATCTCGAACCTGTTCTGCATGAGCTTAGAAAATTTCTCACATAAAGATTTATCAGTACTTCCAAAGATAATATCATCAACATAAATTTGTACTAATAAAATGTGATTATTTTCTTGAATTCTAAAGAGGGTTTTATCGACTAGACCTTTGGTGAATCCACAACTAATTAAGAACATCGACAAGGTGTCGTACCAAGCTCGCGGAGCTTGTTTTAACCCATACAATGCCTTCTTTAATTTGTAGACTTGATCACCAACGTCTTTTACCTCAAAACCAGGTGGTTGTTCGACGTAAACTTCTTCTTCAAGTAAGCCATTAAGAAATGCGCTCTTTACGTCCATTTGATACACAACGAAATTCTTGTGTGCTACATATGCTAGGAATATCCGAATTGCTTCGAGTCGTGCGACAGGGGAGAATGTCTCATCAAAATCAATTCCTTCTTCTTGTGAATACCCCTTCGCGACTAATCTTGCTTTATTCCTAACAATGACGCCATCTTCGTTTGCTTTGTTCCTAAAGACCCATTTAGTGCCAATTACATTTTGGTGCGTTGGTCTTGGAACAAGTTTCCATACGTCGTTGCGCTTGAATTGATCTAATTCCTCTTGCATGGCATCTATCCAACTTGGATCGGCTAAAGCTTCATCAATTTCCTTTGGCTCCAGTTGTGATAGAAAACATGAGAACATTGCATCTTGTTGTTGATTCCTAGTAGATGATCGCGTTTTCACTCCGTCACTTGGATTTCCAATGACTAAGTCATGGGTGTGACTTCTTAGCCATTTCCGATTTGGTTGAAAACTCATTGGATTCTCAGAGTTTCCTTCTTGATGTGATTCCACTTGTTGTGTATTATTGACGAATGCTTCTTCGGTTTCAACTACTGGAATTTCTTCTTGTTGAATTTCAGTTGGAGGCATGCGTGACATTTCGGGTATCTCATTTGATATTGCCTCAAATTGGTGAGTACCCATATCACTTGATTCTTCTACTTCCTGCAACACATTATCTTCGAAATTGTCATTAGAAGTAATTAAATCACGATTACCTTCATCATTTTTGCAATTATTGCCGTGATTTTCATCAAACACAACATGAATCGATTCTTCTACCACCATGGTTGATTTGTTGAAAATTCTATACGCCTTGCTGGTGGATGAATATCCTAAGAATATTCCTACGTCCGCTCGCTCGTCAAAAGTCTTTAATTGAGACTTTCCATTAACAAGTACAAAACATTTACAGCCAAATGTATGAAAATAAGTGAGATTGGGTTTTCTCCCTTTCCATAATTCATATGGTGTTTTGTTATAAGACTTGTGGATTAGACTGCGATTTTGAGTATAGCACGCCGTGTTAATCGCTTCTGCCCAAAATCTCTTTGGTAGACCGGCGGCCGTTATCATGACTCGTGCGGCTTCCTTGAGTGTTCGATTTCTTCTTTCAGCTACACCATTTTGTTGCGGCATTCGTGCGGCAGATAATTGATGTAAGATTCCTTGTGAATTGCAATAGGATTGAATCACTCTGTTCACGAACTTTGTTCCTCGATCGGTTCGTATTGTTGCAATCTTCATGTCCTTTTCGACTTGTAGAAGTTTTAATAGCTCTGGCAGCTTTGATAAGACTTCATCCTTTTTCTTGATGAATATTGTCCAAGTGTACCTAGAAAAATCATCAACAACAACCAAAGTATATTTCTTACCACTTATACTTACTGGGTCTACTGGACCAAATAAATCCATGTGCAGTAGACTTAAGGGTCTTGATGTTAACTCTTGAGCTTTGACTTTGAATGATGCTTTGATTTGTTTTCCTTTCTGGCATGCATCACAAATTTGATTTTTCTTGAACACAATGTTGGGTAGTCCTTCGACTATATTATTTCTGGCAAGCTTGTTGATAGTTTTGAAATTCAAATGATTTAGCCTTCTGTGCCATTCCCAACAAGCTTCATTAGAATTATTTGCCATCAAGCATACGGATTCCTTCGTTGTACTCCAATCCACAACATACATGTTTTTCTTTCTTGATCCGGCGAGTACGACTTCATTCGTGGATTCGTCCTTGACTTGACATTTGCCTTTGTAAAATTCTACAAAATATCCTTTGTCGCAAAATTGACTTGTACTAAACAAGTTAAATTTTAATCCTTCGACATAAGATACGTCATCAATTCGTAGACCATTTTTCACAATTGCGCCAGTTCCTTTTGTCATTCGATATCGATCGTTTCCACCGAAAACTACTTTTGGTCCTTCGATACTTTTGAACTCAACTAGACTAGCTTTATTGCCGGTCATATGTCGAGAGCAACCGCTATCGAAATACCAAATTTCCTCTTCGTCGATTTCACGCGCCATATAACATTCTTCATGTTCGGGTGTCTTGCCCACTTGGCATAGTAGCGCCGTATCTTCTTGTGATGAATCACTCTCGTCACTAGATGATTCTTCGGATTCACTTGCCTCTAACGGATCGCTTATTAGTGCCTTCCGTTTGCCCTTTTTGAATTTCTTCTCTTTGGATTTGTATTCCACTTGTGGAGAAGTATTCAAATTTTTGTCCGCCTTGGGGTGTGGACATTCGGCCATAAAGTGTCCAGGCTTTCTACAATTGTAACACACGTTTGTATTATCTTCGACCGGTTCCCTTCTTGATCTTCTATTTTCTCGAAAGAAATTTCCTTGTGGTGATCCTTTGTTCTTTCGCATGAACTTCTTGAATTTCCTAACAAATAGAGAAAATTGTTCATCAGATAAAAAATCATTATTTCCTACTGACCTTGATGTTGAGGGTTGTTCAGCCATCAATGCGGATGTTCGTTCATCACGTTCTTCCTCGACTCGTGTCTTCATTTCGAACTCATACGCCTTAAGATCACTAAAGAGTTTATCCGTAGATAATGTCCTTAGATCTCTATGATCGCGCATTGCAGTCACCTTCATATCCCAATTTGTAGGTAGTCTGCGTAACACTTTGAGCGATATTTCTTTCTGGGTAATGGTCTTTCCCAGATCCGTGATTTCTCCAAGAATTTTGATCAATCGAGCTTCCATGTCGGTGATGCTTTCGTTCGGTAGCATTTTGAAATCTTCGAATCTCTTCATGGCAATGGTTAGTTTGTTGTCTTTTTCTTATTCATCGCCTTCACCGATTCCGATAAGTGTATCCCATATTTCTTTTGCTGTGGTGCACTTTCGAATCTTTGGGAATATGGTGTCATCGACCGCTTTGAACAAAATATCTTTGGCAATGTTGTCCAAATTATTTCGCCCTCTATCTTCCTTTGTCCACTCCATTTTTGGCTTTGGTATATATCGTGGAACATTTGGAGTTAGTGCGGCTGCAGTGTTAACTTCCATAATTTGGATAGGACCATTTGCGATGACTTTCCACATTTCGTCATTTAAAGCAGATAAGTGCACCTGCATACGTATTTTCCAATCATCAAACTTATCAAGTGAGAAAAGCAAATTTTGAGTAAGAGCCATATCTCTCTTCATTTTGAAGATTTTGAGATCTATCTAGCAGTCAAAATTGACTCAAATAGACAACCGCTCTAATACCACTTGTTGGTCCCGAAAGGGTGGCGAGAAGTCTAGAGGGGGGGTGAATAGACTTCTCTAACTTTTTAAACTTTCTTTGAAAACACACAAGGCAAATAACACTTTGGTAATTTCAAATCTAAGTAACAAGTATCAACAAGATAAACAACTTAGAGTGTGCAGCGGAATAAGTAGCGGTAAAGTGTTATGCTTAATTAGTGCGGTGCTCCAAGAGAGATTCTAAACATGCTACACGTTAGAAACACTTGATATGGTTCAAGGATGATGTATGTAAAGTTTGGCTTGCATGCAAACGTGGGAACTATCAAACCCAGACAGATAAAGATATGCGATAAATCGTAATCGGGTTAGTTCGCAGTTAGAATAAGCATGCACAAAATAAATGAGCAGTAAGTAAATAGAGAGAGAGATTTATAGTGGTTCAGAGGTGGTGTAATCCTCCTAGTCCACTCTTCTCCTTTTACTTCAAGGAGGAAATTCACTATTCTTCGATCACCCAGATACAATAGTAATAAGTGTCCAACGACACTTCTCCGAGTGCTTCGCACAAAGCTACACTCCTCCAAGGTTTTTCGCAAGCTCCTCTTGTTACTCCGCCTTCCCGAGTACTTCGCACCAAGCTGTACTCCTACACCACGAGAACTACGCACAAAGCTACATCCTCTCAGGGTTTTCACAAGCTCCTCTTGTTACTCTGCCCTTCACCACGAGTGCTACGCACAAAGCTACACTCAACCAGGGTTTTTCACTCTCTCTAGTTACTCCGCCCTCTTTCTACACTCAGTAGAGAATATTACAAAGAAATAAAATTTCTCTCTCACTCAGACTTGAATTTAATTCTATGAAGCTCTGTTTCCCCCTTTTCGGCTAATTAAAAAATAACTTGTATCTTTTGCTTGTAGGTCTTAGCCGTTGTTCAAGTTGTTGAACTGCTCAATCACTTGGGGTTCTTATCTCTGAACTCTTCACTGCTTGTTTTCAAGTCTGCTTGGACAATTTATAGCTAGTGAAAGCTATTTGCCCGTTTGATCAACTATCGATCTTGATCGTCCATTTTGAATTGTAGTTGATCAAATAATATTGTCAACTTGATCTGAAATATTAGGTAGATGTCATTTCTCCTTTTGTCAGATGATTTGAATAATTTTCCCGTTGCTGTGTCTTGAATTTTGTAGCCTCCAAAATTTGAATAAGTTCGGCGCGGCAATCTTTGACATTTCTGGTCCTTCATAAATACTCTGACATGTCAAGTTGATCAAATAATTTATCTGTTGATTC